AGAGCTTTGAGTTTCTTGTGAGCGGGCAGTTCAAATTCCTCGTAACCAATGTGAAATAAAAACGTTAATATCTTCGTTAGGAGTTGGTTTCAGTAATTTTCGTTGTGCGAATCGTGTTCTACGTAAAATTCTGGTTAAGAAATATGTATCAGATTGCTTAAATTCGTACCTTGTCGTGTGGTCCATTGTTCAATTCATGAACCAAGGGTATCCTCGTGTTCAGTTCACCCTATGGTTTGCACTTAAACAGGACATTCATCGAATTTTAGACACCTGCAAATTCTCTGTTCTTGCATCGGAAATGACTGATTTTCACTTCTAACTAAGATATTAACGTTTTAATTTCACATTGGTCACGGGCAATTTAAATTGCCCGGTCATAAGAGACGCGATACTCTAGTCGTCGTTTCCAGCACGAAGGAACGTAACTCCATTCCAAGGTTGCCAAATTGACTCGAACAATTAATTTATTTTACAAAAATGTACGTATGCAATTTTCATCCAAAATAAGTCTGTTTTTTGCTTAAAATCTAGAGAAAAATCAGGGAAATTTTCAGTCAAAAATGCCCAGGATTCTCTTGATTAATAGGCAATTTGCGAGGGGAAATTTGGCAACATTGAAATGGAGTTACGTTCTTTCGTCCGGGAGACGACGTAGTGGCTCAAATCGCGCCCGACAACAGTCTTGGCAGACTTCTCAACTGAACATTGTTCCTCTCCCACCCACCCTTAGTTGTTCTAAGTGTAACAAATTTTCTATATCTGAGCTAAAGCGCCAAGATTGAGGTTGTCATATTTTCGTATCGCGGAGACTGCGATGGTACCTAACGTTTAGTGTGCAATTTTACTCACATAGACCATCGAGTTTTCACGAGCGGCAGGTTTGAATTCACCCGTCAAGAAACATAAAATTTCTTGGTTAGAAGTCAATTTTAGTAATTTCGTTGCTGGAGTCGAGTTCTACGTGAAATTTTGGTTAAGAAACATGTATCAGAATGCTTAACTTCGGACCTTGTCTAGTGGTCCATTTTCCTTGGTGGATCGTGTGTGGAATCATCATTTTTTTCTGAGACATTTTTTTTTTAAAAAACATTGTCATACATTGGAAAAAAACACATTGGATCTAGAGTCCAGACTCTTAAAAACATCAACAAGAAAAAAATACTCTTGATTCAATCAGATTTAAGCTTGAATCAAGAACCAAGCTTATTAATTTGAGCGGATTTCCTTTTGATTCAAGCAAAAATCCGATTGAATCAAGAGTATATTTTTTCTTGTCAATGTTTTCAAGAGTCTGGACTCTAGATCCAATGTGTTTTTTTCCAGTGTATGTTATATTTTTACGGATCTGGGTGTTTCCTTGGAAATTTTAAAACCACCTAGTGCGACACACACAAAATCCGTGAAATTTTCAGCTATATGAAGTCAAATTGCGAAGAAACTCGTCTAAAAAACTAAAATCAAAATATTCAGAATTTTTCCGGTTGACCCGTTGATTATCGAAGATAAAATGGCAATGCCTGAAAGCTCATACGGGGGTTTTTCCTTCGTCCGAAGGATAGTGAACATCTTTTTGCATTAGCTTGGACAAAACCGCTGAGAGGCATATATTCCTCGAATAGATGCTGGAATAATACATTCTGGCGTTGAACAGCTTTCCTCCCTCTTAGACTCAACAAAAACAAAAAATCACTGCATCAGTAATCCCTGCCTTTCCTTTCCTCTGTCATTATACTGCCCGCACTTAGCATTAAGCTCCCTTTTCTGTAACCAGGAACCTCGTAGATGTTGTACGAAACGTTGAGTGGATACGATTTTTATGTCTAACAAAACGAGGAAAGCTAATAATCCGATTGAATGTGTTGAAGGCGCTCACTATTCCTGCAAAAATACTAAGCAGTGTTTCAGAGGTTTTAAATTTCCGCGGTACCGGATTGAAATTATCCCTCCAGTGCATTCGTGTATATAGGGTGATCCAAAAGTATCCTAACATCAGTTCCAGGAATCCCATGTAGCTTTCGAAAAAAAAAAAATAAAATAGGGACTCAGAATTTTGTTAATGTTCCAGGTCAAAGAAAACGACTATCGGGAGCCCCCATAACTTTAAACGAACCACCCTGAAAATGGCAAAAACCCCAGGGGTTTTTGAAGGTGGTGCGTGCGGGACTTTTGGACCACCCTGTATATGAGACCAATGAAGTTTATTATTGTACCCTCAAAGAAAATAAAACATTTTTTTAAACGACGCACATGGATAAGTTCTGCGGCTTGTGGTGTCTATGGAGTTCTGGCTTACACAAAGCCTTGCAGATTTTGCAATTCAGAGTTGAAATAACTCTGCTGGGAGGATTTTAATTCTGACCATTCGCTTGACATGATTTTCCTCTGCATTAACTGCAAAACTCTTAATTCTTATTATTTCTTTCTATTTCTATATTCTTCTATTTTTTGTTTCAGGTTAGTGACTTACGACAATTCCATAGCGTAAGCTCTTGCATTTTCCGAATGATTCTTAACCAAGGTAATGTGCAATTACTGTATTTCGACGGTGAAAGTCGGCAATCACATAACTCGTTTGCGGTGTCTGAAAATCTCCGCCTCTACGTCATTTTTTTAAAGGAGAACAAATTGATATTATTTCTTGAAGTTTTTGCAGAATTTTCTTCTCATTGGGAAGAAAAATCATGACAGTTTTAAAGAATTGCCGTTGAGTAGTTTTCCATTTAAAAAATAAAGTATGACAGGAAGTCTGCGACGTCGCAAACCGAGTTATGTGATTGCCGACTTTCATCGTCGATTTGTTAGTACATTCAGTACGCAGTGGTGCGGTTAACGGTGTTAATTGAGATCTTAGTAATATTTTATTTCATCTGATATTGAAGGAAATCATCTTATTAGCAACTTTCAACGCTTAATGGTATTCAGAGTTCCATTGCAAACTTTCAGCAGGAAGCAGAGTTCTGTGAACAGATCTCAAACTAATCTGAAAATCAGAATTTGATGACTTGTATACTAATACAAATCTTAAAAAGGACAAGAAAAAGTTTTACCTTTACTCACATTTTCTCGTTTTTTGATGGTCGAGCACCTGGTTCCTCATCAAAAGAAAAACGACCCATTTTTTAAAAAAAAGAGGAAAAACTCACGAAAATATTGAGACTCAAAACATCATGAAAGTTTATTGTTGATTTTGAAAAAAATGCCCTCATCCTGCATGTAAAAAGTGTCTATTTACACGAAAAGTAGAGTATTTGTTCCTTAATTTCTGAATTTTATATGATTTTCTATTTATTCACTACAGGCAAGACATAAGACAAGACAAAAACATAAGGAACCAATCCAAAACATTAATGAGCAGAGAAAAAGAATAATAGAGAGATAAATTAAATTAATCTAATTTGTGTTGTAAATATAAAAATTGATAAATTTATTAGTTAAGAGCCACAATAAATACAAAAATAAAGAAGTAAGAAAAGAATTTAAGCACCAGAATTCAACAACACTTATATTATATACACACTGTATTCCATACACACGTTATGGAATAGTTGATTGAGGCTTGGCACGCTGCGGCGCGGCGGACAGCCGGCCAGCGCCTACAAACCTAAGTGGATACTTCAAGCATTGCGCAATGCGTGAAGTATCCACTTAGGTTTGTAGTGCGCGTTCCGCGCTGGCGTGACTTTACACTGCGCCGGCTGTTCCGCTATGTTAGACTCTAATTTTAAACTCGCGGGGTCAGCTTTTTTCAACTCATGATTTAAAATGTTTGCACACTTTGCATGGATTATTCTTATTTAAATTAATGAAAATATGTATTAAAGAAATATACGAGGTCTGTTAGATTAGAAGCCGGATTTTGGTCATAACTAGCCCACAATGCGTCCGAATTAGGTTTTCTTGAGCTTTCCTGATAGCTGGAAATATACTAAAGAACGCTACGTTCACAGATTTTGTTTATTTTGATCAGTGTTTATTCTCTGTCATTTTGAATACGAGTAAGTTAGGTGCATTTTGCGATTTTCATCATGCGATCACCGATAGAGCAAAGATTCAACATTTAATTTTGTTTTAAACTTGGTATACCTTGTACTGAAACTTTTGGTATATGCTAAGTAAAGTTTACCATGATCATTGTTTGAGATGTTCCCACTGTTTTGAATGGGTTAAACGATTCAAAACTGGTCAGGAGTTCGTCACAGATGAGGAGCATGGGAATTGACCCTCAACGGCAACTGACATTTGTCACGTGAAAGAAGTGCGAGCAAAAGTGCTCGAAAATGGTCGTTTCGAGCTCGTTGAATAGAGTATTATTTCTGGAGGCTCTGTACATACAATTTTGATAGAATATGTAGACACGCATCGAGTTTCAGGTACACTTGCCCCTTGATTGTTGTCCGTTGAACGAAAATCCAACCAAATGTCAATTTCCCTTTAGCTGCTTGAACGTTCTAACAATGATCCTATACATTTTTGGATAGGATAATTTTCGGTGACAATACTTTAGTGTACAGCTACGATATGGAAACGAAACTCTAATCGTCCTTGTGGGTTGAAAATTTTAGTGCAAGATCGAAAAAAGAGAGATAAGTTCGATCAAACATAAAAATCGCAAAAGATCCTTGAGGTTGCCTTACTTTAAGCCACATACCAACAAAACTAATTAGGATTTTGTGAACGTAGCGTTCTTAAATATATTTTCAGCTATCAAAAAAGCTCAATAAAACGTAATTTGGACGCATTGAGGGCTACTTATGACCAAAATCCGGTTTCTAATCTAACAAACCTCGTAGAGTAGATTTCTCTAGTTACTTTAAACTACCGCCAAACTTTGAAGTTAGAAGATTTTTTTACTACTTTAATAAGAGTTATTCTAGTGATGGGGTATCTAATCCTAGTATTTTCAATGGAGATTTGAAGTTTAATTGATAAGATTTTTCAAAATTTAAAAAATTTACTTATTTACATTTTGTTTTATTAATATCTTTTTAATCAATATATAATTTATTTAAATATCGTCAGGTAGCTTTAGTCAATAGATTCAGTTCCAAAGCCAATATTTGGAGTCAAATTAAAGGGGAAAAAATTCAAAAATCGAAATCTGGTCGGCCTCAATTCAGAAAAACAAATAAATTCTTTTTAAAACTTAATTCTTTTTAAAACTATCGTCTTCGTAGGTCATCGCAGAATATGTGTCCGACCTTCTTGTAGATGTAAACTTTCCTCGCCAAGTCTTCGACAGCGATCCTGGTCCCTTGTGAGCCTTTAGTCGAGGTCAAAGATCTTGCGCTAGAGGTTTTCGATGACACCTTGGAAGCAAGTCCACGTTAACAATCCTCAAGTCATAAAAAAGATCAGAGGACCTCAACCTCAGTAAACTTGTACAGAGAATCACCCTCTCCGGTCTCGATGATAACTGTAGAGGATACAACTCTTTCGTAGACACCGATTTTCTTGTGAGTTTACTTTTAGAAAGAAGCTTGGCAGTCTTCAATCTGTTTTAAAAAGAAGGAAAGAGAAAACAAGGCTCAAAGTATCGGTTCACATTGTCTACACTAATAACAAGCACAATTTCATCATGGGTTACTATCTATTCCGCTTTTGACTTACATTTTTTGAGGGGAGAGGAGTTCCTGCATTCCTTCGCGAAAAAAACCTCCCTAAAAAAATGAATAAGGGGCTTGAAGAAGAAGGCGCCTAAGTGCGGTTTTTTCTATTTCGAGAAATACGTGTTTGAATTTTGGAAATCAAATGGATCTATACGGCGGAAAGGAAGTTCAAACCGACTTTTTGATGCTTAAAAATTGGAATTCGGGAGCGAATTTTTCACAGAATATGCTTTGAGACTAGTTTTACTTGAAATCGCATTCATATCTCATTTTTTTTCAAAAACTGTACTGAAGCGCCGTATCCTCCAAACCCCTCAAATAATTGATAAATCGATTGTGCTAGGGTCAGATGTATGTCATTGGGCTGCAGAGCAATTAAAACGATTTCAGAAAAATGTTTCTCGAGTTTATTGATTGCATTTTTCGCTGAATGAGTATAATTATCAGGAGGAACCAATCTTCAGTCACGGAACACGGAGATAATTACTTGCTACGCGATTTTCATTGCATCTAACGAAAACTCCCACAATTTTTTATGTGTGCAGTCGTAGATGTTCCTTGGAAAGAAACAAATCGATGCCGGAATTAGAAAAGTAAGCACTGCAGTAGCAAAACCCTCGCTCATATTTTTCTTTCATAAACATAAGCAATCCAAAACATTTTTAAGAGCTTTTAAAAAACATGAATCGATTTCCGTTTCCTTAAATTACCTTAAATGCATTCTCATCCCAAATTATCAAGACAGCTCATCTCTATACCGCCGCCCACATCAAAAACGCCGTAACTCCAATCAACACGTTGCTTTCTTCTTCCGCACACACTGTTTTATTACGAGAAAACCTGATTAATAAGATGTTTCATTTTATACACCGAAAAAAAAGTGAAGTTGATTTAACATTCTGGATGTAGTAGAAGTGTGCGAGAACTTATAAAATGCTGAATTACCCACCACAACAGTTAGTTTTACATCTTGGCATTGCTAAAGGAACAGCTGTAGCGAGCGGGTAATTCATCATTTTGTAAGCTCTCGCACACTTCTTTTATATCCAGAATGTTAATCAACTTAACTTTTTTTTCGGTGTACATTTTGAAATCTCAGTGATACGTTACAGTTATTTTAGAGCTAAGAAGGGTAAACTGTCGTTAATGAAAAATTTTTCGGTAAAAAGCTGAAAAAATCTAAAATGGAGTCACGGCGTTTTTGCCGAGGACGGCAGTAACAGTACTGCTGGTATTTCTTTCACACGTTATTAGATTAGATTGTCTGTGCGGGCAACTAAATTTAACCTAGCGAAGCTGTTTTTGCCCACTCGCTCGAATAAAGGCTAATCTACTTAAAAGCTGCTTTTATGCATCATCGTGTGATTATCATGGATTGCCTTCCAATAAATCAAAACTTCGTCTAAAAACATTTTTTGACCTTTTCTTAGTCATACCGTCAGTGAAACATGACATTCGATAATGTCGATGACATAAACGTGTGCTTTAAAACAAATGATATAGCTGTACCGATATTCTATAAGTTAACAACCTAAAAATCACCTTATAATGCAGACACTTTCCTCGCGTCATCTGGTAGGGATGTAGAGACGACGTTGTCCCACATAGTCGTCGCTCAACCGGTCCTATGGTCGCAACATCTGGGTTTATTCTGTAAAATTTTTGAAAGTCTTAAAATTCAATGAAATTATTTAATTCGAGCTACCTGCTTTGACTATCACATAGATTTTTGTTTTGTGTTTTGTTATTAAATGAGCTCCGGAAGCAGTCAAAATCAGCCGAAATTTTCGAAAACGGACGTTTCGGGGTGATTTTATCCCCCGTATCGACCGGAAAACAAAATAATTAAAATCAAGACCACCAGAGTCTTCTCCCAGGCATTCTGTTTGTTTGTTTCTAGCCTTAGTTACCCATTTTTTGTGTTTTTTAGTAGGATACTAAACGACATATCGTCACCTTCCAGCCGAAGTATCACAAGCGCTGTGCGACGTTTCAAATTTTCCGCCGGCATTCTATTTCTTTTTAAGAGAAATTTTTGGTCGCATCTGTTTGAAAATTTTACTGAATTGTATCGGCAGCACGAAGACCACTTAGTGAAATTTTCGGACAGCTTCGTCGAAAAATTTCTCTGTAAAAAAATAAACTGGCGGCGAAAATTTTGAAACGTCGCATGGCGCTTGTGATACTTTGGTCGGGAGGTGACGATATCTCCTTGAAATTGCCTTTAATTGCTCTCGAAAATAAACAAAATTCACCAAAAATGTCATGAAAAGCTGTTGATTGGTAACATTTGAACAATTAAATATTCGTGGAGATTTTTCTCGTCACAATCTGAGTTACACATTTTTTCCAATAGCATCGATATTGAACAACACATACAACGTAATCTCTTCAAAAATTCACCTTCATCTGTGTCATCCTCGACCTCTGATGATGTCTGTCTCCTCCTCCGTATCTTCAACCTCTTCGACATCTACAGCCTCGGCAGCATCTACATATCTACAGCCTCGGCGGTATCTACATATTTACAGCCTCCACTGCGTCGTCTGCATCTTCTATGTCATCAGATTACCTCAGTGTCTTCACCATCATCAGTGTCATCACCTTTGACAGCTCTCTTGTGCCTGGTACTCCTAGAACCCTTAGAATCCTCAGTTTCCTTTAAATTTCTTGACACAAACCGTTTAGAACCTCCAACACCCTTGAAATTTCTAGACCTTTTGATATTCTTGGCATTTCTATATTCGTCTTTATCTGTCAAAATCCCCTCGTCATCAGAGTCGTACTCTTCAATTACACCAATGAAATTGCTGTCTGCTCGCGTTCTGAGATTTTCAGAACGCGCGACGCTGCCAAATCTCAACGTAGGCGACACATTCGCATTGCTGGCGTCGTCAGGCGCAACCATAGAATTTATGGGTTTCTCTACGGATCTAGACCCGCGTTTCATTCTCGGATCAACGGTAGTCGACGTTTGTCGAAATTCTTTTTGAGGTGATCTACGTCTCGTAGTCTCTACGGTGGTTTGAGGCGTTGTGAATTGTTCTCCGTTCAATCCAAAATCCAGGATTTTCTCAGCAGAAGAGGTCTTTTTGGAGCGTTGTTTTGCGAAAGAGGTTTGTTTGATGTCCAGAGATTCGTCTTCGTCTGCTGACGCGAGGTGAGGTCTCGAGTTTTTATTCAACTTAACGCTTGTAAGGCTTTTCAAGGCATGTTGGTTCAGACAATCACTGGAAACTGTTGAAAAGTATTTGTAAAGGATTATCAAAATTAAAATCTTTGATTTGGGCTAAGGAATTTGGTTTCATTGTTTCAGCACTGACAGTAAATTTGATTCAAGTTTTGACCAAAGTTGTGTTGAATTGACAAATTTGTTGTGCTAACACAAGCAACACTAACTTACTCTCTAAATGCTGGTTTGTCAATTCAACAAATCATTTGGACTGCATTTTGCAATTTGGACCTATAAATTCTAGCCCGGTTTAAAAACAACGTATGTACCATTAGTCCCCCTAAAGTACACCCTAAGCACATAAGTGTTTTTTTCAGATGAGCCAAAATTTATAGGTCCAAATCGCAAAATGCAGTCCATTTGATCTTCAACGGACACTACATAAATCGACAGAACATGATCAATATTCAGCTTAAGGAACCCGGGCCGATTGGACCGCGTTTAGAAGAAAGGAGCCAAGCCGCATAAGCTATTTTCAAATCTAACCGAGCAATTTAATCTTTTACAAGAGAACATTTGTGCGGATTCCTTTGGAAATTTTAAGGACTTTGCTGTCCACTATGCAGAAAGTTCACTGAAATTTACACAAAAATCCGCACAACCGTTTTCGTGCAAAAAATTAAATTGCCCGATTAACTTTGGGAATAGCTGATGTGGCTTTATTCCTTTCTGATTGACGAGATCTAAGAGTGGATCGATCAGTGACCATATTCTCTTTATGAAGGTATCATTGTTTATCAGTGGTGTTAATTATCATTTTTCTCAGATCCCGGTCACCACCATGTAGGACTCAGGTTTTCATAGTTTTCTTTAAAGTTTTTAAAAATTTTTTTTTTTTAAATTTGTATCGTATTTCCGACTGAAAATGACTCAGTTCGAGTCGAAACGTCTCGCGTTTGTTAATTTTGTATGTTAGCCTTGTGTCCCGTTTTTCCCCCTCACTGGAAAAAAAAACACATGGGATCTAGAGTCCAGACTCTTGAAAATATTGACAAGAAAATGGACTCTTGATTCAATCAGATTTAAGCTTAAATCAAAAGGAAATTCGCTCAAATTAAGAGGCTTGGTTCTTGATTTAAGCTTAAATCTGATTGAATTAAGAGTATTTTTTCTTGTCGATGTTATTAAAAGTCTGGACTCTAGATCCAATGTGTTTTTTTCCATTGCTTGTTTTTTTACTGTTTATGAAGGTATCCTAGGTCCATTTCCTAGGTAAATTGCTTGTTTTTAGAAAGAAAAATGAGAAAGCTCACCGCGCGGGTCACATCCATCGAACCGAGGAAGGGATTTCGAGCGTTGCCGCCTAAGAGCGCTGAGGTCCTCGACCTCACAGACCTTCTCTCGGTCGACCACATTCGGCAGTCTGCAGATCGCGGCCTTAATTCGTTGTCTCACGTCCGTCGGGGCCTCACTGGCGGCGGCCTGCAGGTACTCTCGGAACGCAACCGGATCTCTCAACAGGCATTCGACATCAACATCTGAAGCGGACGCCGTCGCAGACTCCCTGCCAATCGTATCGCAGCAGGCCTTGAGCAAGTCGCCAATCTCGTTTACGTTACGTTCCAACTCGCAGAGCTCCGCCAAACCGGTTGCCCGCCGAGTATTCTGCGCTCTAGTGGCAGGTTTTGGAGACTCATTGAGCTCTGTGAAACCGGTTGTTCTCCGTGCGATCTGCACTCTAGTTGCAGGTTCCGGAGACTCGTCGAGATCTGGCACACCCGCTGTCCACCCCCTGCCTTGCACTTCCGGAGACACGTTGAGATCCGGTACACGGGTTGCCTGCCGCGTCGCCCCTGCTCTAGCGGCGAGTTTCGGAGACTCGTTAAACTCTACCGGACCGGTTGCTCGTCGCATGGTCTGCACTCTAGCATCGGTTTCTGGAGACGCGTCAAGATACGATAGACTGGTAGCCCGTCGAGTTGCCTGGGCTCTAGCGGTAGGTCCCAGAGCCTCACGGAGCTCCTCTGGATCGGTTGCATGCCGTCTACGCTGCATTCTTGCAGCAGATTCCACAGAATCCTCAAGATCCGGTGTCAGACCGGTTGCTTGCCGCACGGTTTGCACTCCAGCATCGGTTTCTGGAGACTCGTCAAGATAGGATAGACTAGTTGCTCGCCGCGTTGCCTGAACTCTAGCGGTGGGTCCCAGAGACTTACGGATCTCCTCTGGATCGGTTGCGTGCCGTCTACGCTGCATTCCCGCGGCAGATTTCAGAGAATCCTCAGGATCCGGTGTCAAACCGGTTGCTTGTCGCACGGTTTGCACTCCAGCATCGGTTTCTGGAGACTCGTCAAGATAGGATAGACTAGTTGATCGCCACGTTGCCTGCGCTCTAGCGGTGGGTCCCAGAGACTTATGGATTTCCTCTGAATCGGTCGGGTGCCGTCTAAGCTGCATTCTCGCAGCAGATTCTAGAGAATCCTCGAGATCCGGTAGGCGGGTTGCCTGCCGCGTGGCCCCCGCTCTGGCGGCGAGTTTCGGAGACTCGTCGAACTCTGTCGGACCGGTTGCTTGTCGCACGGTTTGCACTCCAGCATCGGTTTCTGGAGACTCGTCAAGATAGGATAGACTAGTTGATCGCCACGTTGCCTGCGCTCTAGCGGTGGGTCCCAGAGACTTACGGATTTCCTCTGGATCGGTCGGGTGCCGTCCAAGCTGCATTCTCGCGGCGGATTCTAGAGAATCCGCGAGATCCGGCAGGCGGGTTGCTTGCCGCGTGGCCCCCGCTCTAGCGGCGAGTTTCGGAGACTCGCGGGGCTTTAGAAAACGGGTTGTGGACAGCATATTGTTCACTCCGGTGGCGGGTTCTGGGGACTCGCGAGTTTCCGCCAGGCTGATCGCGCGCCGTCTAGCCTGTACTTCACCGACGGATTTTCGATACTCGTTCACCTCTGCTAAACTGGGTGTTAGTTGTTCGGCTTGCGCTCTGGCGGTGGAATTCAGAGACTTGCGAAGCTCCTTCGAACCGGGTGTGTACCGCCTGGTCTGCGCTTCAGCGGCGGAATCCAAGGATTTGCGAAGCTCCGCCGGACTGGTTGTGTACCGCCTGGTCTGCGCTTCAGCGGCGGAATCCAGGGACTTGCGAAGCTCCGCCGAACTGGTTGTGTACCGCCTGGCCTGCGCTGTGATGGCGGAATCCAGAGACCCGTGTAGCTCCGCCGAACCGGTTGCGTGCCGCCTGGTCTGAGCTCTGGCGGTGGAATCCAGAGACTTGCGACGCTCCGCTGAACCGGTTGTGTACCGCCTGGCCTGCGCTCTGGCAACGGGTATCGGAGAATCGTCGCCGTCAGAGGCGTCTTCAGAGTCTGGTTCTGAAGTATCGGTCCTGGAAGCGGATCTAGAAAACCCGTCATCGGAGGTAGTCTGCGATTCTATGCTCGCATCATCGTGGTCGTCCTTAAAACCGGTGCGGTTGGTTTCTGGGTGGAGATCCTCATCATTTGAAGAGACGCTGAGTGAGGTCGAATCTGACCGTGATGCCCTCGAGGGTAGGTCGGCACCAGACCGTGATTTTAGCGCTTTGGTGGAGGGTTTACCTTTGTTCAAAAACGAATCAAGAAAACAAAAAAATTAAAGTTTCGATATAGGAAAAAATTACGAGTTCCTATAAAGTTAAAAAAAATTCGGAAAAACTCAGGCCATTTTACTCAACCGTCAGAAACAATTGAATGTTACCGTCAAACTCTGAAATTTCTTTTACAGACAGCATAATGAGAAAAATCCTCTATATTTACTTCACTTTACCAAACGGCGTCGAATAAAACTTCCGAGTCAAATCTGCGGGGTCGATTGTTGAATCGTTATCGAATGATATTGAGCGATAAAAAGCACTGCCATAATAAGAGCCTGTGATTGGCTTATTCGATGACTTAGACCAATCACAGCACTTGACCTTGACATTTTGATGGAGTATTTTGATAAAGTGACACAGGCTGTTTATCGATCGAATTCATTCGATAACGATGATCAGATTCTTCTCAGATTCGATGAGCAGATTCTTCTGTATACTCATTCCGACTTACTTATATGAACGACCAAAGACTCATTCATCTCTTAAGGTGATTCTTTATGTGATTTTTCTGTGTTCTAAGGATGAGATCCCTGGTAAAAATTGGCGATAAGAGCTGCGTTTCAAAATACCATAGGAATTCTTATAGCCGGCTAAAGAAGGCTGCAGAAAATCATATAGCTGGCTGTAGAATGCGGAGAAAATCATACGGCCGGGCTATACGAAGCGATAAAAAATTATGCAGCCGGGCTATAGTTCCTGTCGCTGGGTTTTACACTTCATCGCCTGGCTGTTGCTTTTTCGCCATCGATTATAAATGGCCATAAGAAATTTTGTAGAAATTCGTGTGCTTTGGAAATCATTAAGTTTGATACGGAACCACCTTAATATTTACAAAACACACATTATATTTTCCTTTAATACATATTTTTTTTTCATCAATTAAAATGAGAATAATCCATACAGGATGTGCAAAAATTTCAAAATCATGAGTTGAATAACGCTGACTCCGCCAGATTGAATATTAGAGCCTTACACAAAGCGGAGCGGCGACACTGGCGCCTACAAACCTAACCGGGATACTTCACGCATTGCGCAACGCGTGAAGTATCCCTGTTAGGTTTGTAGGCGCCAATGCGTGTTTCGCGCTGGCTGCCCGCCTGCCACGGCGCTTTTCACACTACTAACTATTATTATACTAACTATTTCACACTAGAGGTATTGCACAGTATCATACGAAACTGAAAGCGCTAATATATTAGTAATGGCAGGCATCCATCAAAAGTACGGAGCTTTCCTCGGAAAATAAATCAAGATACTACGGCCCAAAAAGAGAGCAGTATTCCAAAAACTCACTAAGTCCTAGCATCCGTAATTAGTAACGTTTAGCATACACTTTATCGTCTGGCTGTGAGTTGCTTAATCGCCATCGGCTATAAAAGGCTATGAGAAATTGTGTAGCCGGCTATAGAAGCTATTGGAAATCTTACAGCCGGCTGTAGGTCTATGGTATTTTGGAACACAGATTCTACTGTCAATTTTTACCAGGGATTCGTCACTACGTTGTGATGCTACACGGTATGTGACTTTAAGAAGCAATAATTATCGTTAAGTACAAGTTAATGAAAGAAACTGATCCATAGCGTGCAGCAGCTTTTTTACTGAGTAGAATGACATCAATTTGCGAAGAGTCTTGGAAAAATATCTCATACTACCATTACGGACATCGTTCGCTGACTTAATGTGTAACTGAGAGTTATTATCACGCTATCTCTCTCTTACGCAGCTAGTCATTGGCAGCCGTAATGATTGTCTCCGATGTGAAAGTTCCACGAATCCTCACAAAGTTGATGTCATTCTACTCAATATGAATGCTGCTACATGTTATGGATCAGTTTCTTGCGTTTTATTGTACATTGCGATAATTATTGCTCCTAAAGGACACACACCGTGAGTCAGCGTAACGTGGTGGCGCACGGTGGAACGAACTAATACGAGAAGTCGGACGTGAAATTTGTGGTTAAAATTTCAAATTTTTATAATTCATTTTGTCACAAATTCAATTTCAAAGGGCGTTTCTGAAATAAATTTTCACGGAAAAACTCAAGAAACCACTCTTAAACTTTTTTGTTTCATATTTTCGAAATTATAATCCTTTATATAATATAAGTTTCGAGGTTTTGTCCGACTTCTCCTATTAACTCGATCCTTTGTGTGGCGGATCTCACATAGAATCACCTTAAAGTGATTGGATGGACGCCATATTGTGTGTCAGAACGGCATGCGATGTATCGCATCAATTGGTTCCATTTTTTCAGTCACTCGTCATTTTTCTCCAATTTTGAGATCGCAATTCTTTTGTCAGGAGGTTAAAGCACTCACCAATTTTAACAATGAAATTCAACGTAATAAAGGCGTGGTTTTTTCAGAGAGAAAACATCGCATTCGATACTGATATTGAAACTGCACTCGAATGCGATATTTTCTCTCTAAAAAAACCACGCGTTTATTACGTTGAAGTTCATCGTTAAAATTGGTAAGTGAGTGCTTTAGTCTCCTGGCAACAGAATTGCGATCTCAAAATTGGAGAAAAATGACGAATAGCCGGAAAAATGGAACCAATTGATGCGATATATCGCATGCCGTTCTGACACAAAATATGGCGTCCATCGAATCACCTTGACAACTTACCATTCCTGGCATCAGCGTAACGTACACTCTCCTCCGTAACGTATTCGCAGTCCCCATTCTTGCACAGCTTCCCGACAGGCGTCGAGGTACGCGTGGCTCCCGCTGGCTCTCTCTTTACCTTTCGGGGATATTTTGAATCGTCCTCTTTGGGTCCCTTCCGATCATCCTCTTTCCGTTTCTTCGACGCACGTCTTTTGGCCTTCCTCGAGCCACCTTCTTTTCGCCTCCTAGAATCCCCGTCTTTATACTCTTCTGAGTCACCGTGTTTGGGCTTCTTTGAGCCGTCCGCTTTTTGCCTTCTTGAGTCATCGTAATATTCCGAGTCAGAAGAGTCACCTGCGGGTTCCTCTTCTCGCTTGGTCAAATCACGTCTTTGGCCCTTCCTTGAGCCACCCTCTTTTCGCCTCCTTGAATCCCCGTCTTTATATTCCTCTGAGTCACCGTGTTTGTGCTTCTTTGAGTCATCCGCTTCACGCCTTTTTGAATCATCGCAATATTCTGAGTCAGAAGAGTCGCCCGCGGGTTTCTCTTCTTTCTTGGCCGATGGCGTACAGGATTTTAACTTCGATGGTGTTCTTGGTTTAATATTTAGTTGCGGACACAGGGAGTCTGGACTCCACAAACACCTGGATAGACATGATATTCGTTTCGCTTTTGCTTTCCTCTTCGCTTCCTGACATGCTTTCCTTTCCGCTCTCATTCTTTCCCTCTCGGCTTTGGGAACAAATCCCCAACCCCTTAAAAAAGAGGGGGAAAAAACAATGTTTTATAAGTAGTATACTACGAAATACTATGAAGGGCTCTCGGAGGATAGGGGTATTTGGCGGCTGGAAGTCGCAGAGCGCCTAAGAGCGCTGTAAAAGCGTCTTCTATGTATGTATACTACGAGAGAGGAAAATTCAAAGTACGCGAAGCGTCTTTTGGGAGTTATGCTGGCCAGTGGCACGAGGTTTCCAGATCGCATGCTAATATGTAGATGTTTTACATGGGTCTAAAAGGGAAAATGTGTTGATATCTAAGCACTATCTGGCAACAATGAGTGGCCAGAAGGCATTTTTTAGTGTTTTTTTAATATGTTATGGATTGGTTTTGTCGTTTGGTTTTTTAGAAAAAAATTGAATAATAGATCGATGCTAAAGTGCGAAACGACGTATCTCTATTGCGATGACCCAAAATCTCCGCTCCTATTTTGTTTTTTTGAAGAGGAACAACTGGATTGCAATCAGCAAAAAGGAACCAGTACGATTTCAGTGTTTTCAAAATCAAGGATCTTCTTTTTTTTAAAAATACTTCTATCTATCTATCTATCTATGTATATATCTATCTATCTATCTATCTATCTATCTGGACCGCGTTCAACAGAAAGGAACCAAGCCACATCAGCTATTGCGAAATTTAACAGGGAAATTAAATTTTTTACGAGAGAACGTCTATGCAGATTCCTTTGAAAATTGTAAGGAATTTGCTTTATATCATAGAGAAAATTCACTGAAATTTGCACAAAAATCCGCACAACCGTTTTCATGTAAAATATTAAATTGCCCGATTAAATTTGACAATAGCTGATGTGGCTTGGTTCCTTTCTGTTTAACGCGATCCATCCATCTATCTATCTATCTATCTATCTACCTATCTATCTATCTATCTATCTATCTATTTATCCATCCATCCATCTATCTATCTATCTATCTATCTATCTATCTATCTATCTATCCATCCATCTATCTATCTATCTATCTATCTATCTATCTATATATCTATCTATCTATCTATCTATCTATCTATATATCTATCTATCAATCTATCTATCTATCTATCTATTCATGTATCTATAAATGTAGTATCTACCTACCCGCAACAAGCCGATTTCTTCGCCACCTTGCGGTCATCGCAGAGTAGCGATGCTAAGCTTCTGTAACATTCCGGTGTCCGGCCCCTGGTACAGACAGATCGCTCTGGGGTTGAAGATTTCATGGTTTCGTTCCTCTTCATGGAACACCTGTTCTCGCGTTTTATTTTCGTTGGTCTCGGAGAGCAAATCGCTTTCCTCGATCCCAAACCGCAGCTCCTTTTCCTCGCCCTTAAATTGTAGTTTTCGATCGCCCTGATCCGGTCTCGGTGGTCCTGGTACAAGCAGCGTCTTTCCGTGTATTTTCTCGTCGGTCTCCTTGTTTGCACTTTAGTTTCCGGTCGACATGCAGGTTCGGATGCCTTCTTCGCCGTTCCCCAGCGCCCGCAGCCACACGGACAGCACTCGCGCGTGCGTTCCTGAAAACAGATATACAGGGTCGCTGAGTTAATGCACCAGACTTCAGGGATTCATTTTCAGGGTCAAAATAAGACTTTTGTACTGTAAAAAGAATTTAAAACACTAAGGTGTAAAGTATATTAACGTGGATGTGAAGTTCGGCAGCGGAAGAAACAGACGCAGGATATGAAGAGCAAAGGAGATGGATTTCTCGAGAAGGTCAGCAGGAATTTCTAGGGGAGATTGGGTCCGGAATGATAGCAAGGTGGCATGAAACGTAAGAAAGAAATGAAAGACTGGAAATTCCTGTGAAATATTTCATAAAATTTCACGAGGCTGTGAAATATTTCATATTTTTCAGGGGATTGAGTTTGCAACATGGAAAAAAAAAGGATTGCTGATTCAGCAATTCAATTGCTAAAAACAGTGAGTGCAATGTTTCAACGCAGATTTTACAACAAAAAAATGCTACTTTAACTACCCCCATGGTTAAATTAGTTTACCATGTGGTACCAAGTAGCATTAAAAATGCTATTTTAACCACCCCCGTGATTAAATTAGTTTACAATATGGTTAAAGTAGCATTTTTTTTGTTGTAAAATCTGCGTTGAAACATTGCACTCACTGTTTTTAGCAATTGAATTGCTGAATCAGCAATTCTTTTTTTTTCCGTGAACCCGCTTTCAAACACACAAAAATAGAAGAAATAAGTCACAATTCATACGAGTACAAATGTTTTCTACCGTCTTCCCGCGAAATCTTAGGCATTTGACACGAAAAGTACGCTAAAAGTTACTCCTGGATCGCAATATTCATTAAGATTTGACGTTTTGGGACAGATATGTGGGCAAATTTTGGGGAGAAATCCTTTACTTTGACGGGCTGTAACGTCGAGAAAAGCGTTCTCGGATACAAATTTATAAAAAAAGTCTTATTTCCACCCTAAACATGGATCCCTGGAGTCAGACGCATAATTTCATGGACACCCTGTTTATATAAAGTCAGTTGAGTTGCATTTTGCAGTGAAAAACGGCTCTATCTGGCTTATCTACCAAAGCACTCATCGATCTATGAAAATTAACGACACATGCATTCTAAAACGATGCTAGAAACAGTAGTTCCGCATTTCAAAATGCAGTTTTAGGGTTTTAACTATGTACTGTCTTCTAATAACGATTTAAGAATCCACCCATCGAACAAAAAACTTTGGTGTTCCAAGAGTTTTTACTCCATGTGAAACTAAAAGAGTGATTTCCAAGAGTTCCGGGTCATAATTCATTCAATTTGTGTACCTTCACAGCATGAGAAAGTCCACCACCCTATGTAATTTCCTAAGCAGAGATAGAATTGAGTACATGAGCAGTGTTTTCACGTCCTACGGGGACAAATGGAGAGTGCAGAAGATGGCGATGGGTCTGGTTTAAGTACAGAGACATGGCAACCCCGCGCATAGAGAATTTGAATAATTACAGAGGTGGACTTTCCAACAGCGTAACAATAGCTAACCATTACGGTCCCAAGTTTCAAAGCTTTTTATGAGTTTGGGAACGGATTTTGAACAAAACCGGCGGCATCGTCGTACTCCGCCCAAAAAACGCAGGATTAGACGACTGGATCATAATTCCGAGCACCTTGCAAAAGCTCCATCACTGTCAAAGTCAAGCAGTTTTAAGGGTTTGAGCTCTCACAATATTTTTAATTAAAAAAATCATAAAATGTAAATGCTATTTGAGAAAAAAGTTTTGGTCTTTCGCCTAGGTTCAAATGTAGACGTAAAAACAGCAAACTTACCACCCGGATGACACGGGTAATTAATGGGTAATTAGCCATACCTCTTCGAATTATACGAGTACACGAGTTTTCATAGGCTCCATGTAGGAATGTAGGATGCATTTACTTCTTTTGTTAACTTTACCGGCCATACTTTATCAAATTTGTAGAAACATTTTTTAAAAAAATCGAAGAAATAGAGAAAAATCGGTAATAAAAAGTTTCTACAAAATTAGGATGCATTCGTCAAATACACTGCCGTGATAGCGAAGAGAACCGTACCTCTCAAATTCTTTCAGTCGAATTTCTTTCAAAATTTGTCGAATCTATTTTTGATTATAGCACTGATGCTGGTGAAACAATGAAATTCGTCCTATTTGTATTCGTTTTGTGCTCATTGCGTGTTGCACATCAAGCCATAAAACGCCTTCAATTGCGTTTGATACTGTGCAACACATAGGAGTTGAAATATTTGTATCAAAGGATCGAACCCAATGTCAAGCATAAGACTCCGAACATTTCTGCCGTCATAGCAAGGAGAGTTTCTTCAAAATCAAAATTCTTTCAAAATTTGTCGAATCTAAGTTTGATGATAGCACTAATGCCGGTGAGACAGTAAAATTCGTCTCGTTCGTATTCGTGTTGTATTCATTTCGTTTGGCACGCCAGGGCATGAAACGCCTTCAATTGCGTTTGATACTGTGCAACACACAGGAGTTGAAATATTTGTATCAAAGGATCGAACACAATGTCAAGCGTAAGACTTCATTTCTGCCGTGATAGCGAGGAGAGTCGTGACGATCAAATTTTCGGGATCGAGTTTCCTTCAAAAGTCTAATTTTTTTATAGAATTTCTTTTTAGATAGAAAGACTAATTTCTGATTTCTGCATAGTGCGAAGAAAGTTCCTTAAAGATTTCCAAAAAAATCCGCATAAACGTTCTCTTGTAAGAAATAAAATTGCTCGGTTTAATTTGGCAATTGCTGATGTGCCTGGTTCCTTCCTGTTAAACGCAATTCAGCGGACTGATGGTTAAAATTGACCAACTAAGCGATAGACAAAGGAGACACAGGTAGTATGGAGCAAACCTATCGGTTGAAATTGGTGGTTGTTACACACCAAGGGGGGAAATTATGGATTAAGTAAAGGGTCTCTCTGTCGGCAGTTAGTCTATTACCTACCTCCGTTGTCTTCCAACCACCCACTTTCACCAATGACCTTAATATATTCCTTTTGTCTTCTTTGTCTATCGCTTTGTCTACCAATGGATCATTAGACAAGGTACGAAGTTAAGCATTTTGATACATCAACACATCTGATACAAACGTTAATATCTTAATTCGAGTTGCTTTCAGTAAGTTCCAGTGCGAGAAGTGTGTTTTACGTGAGATTCTTATTGAGATACATTGTGTAGAGTACATACCTTTATAGGGAGAGTATGGACAGCTCGATTTATGTAGCTCATAGGACCCAAAAGGGCGACAACGTGAAAAAATAAAATCACCGGAAAAATGCCGCTGCCAACCTATGCATTTGTGAGATTACACAATATGGCCGACAGCGCATTACAAACAAGCGTCTCCAAGGATTAAAACTTTGAAACTGAGAAAATGTAAGCGAAATCAAAGTTTTATTCGTGCTTTTATAATTTTTGATCAGTGTAAATGGTTGAAATGTGGAAATTAGTTCCACTGGATAATTCGAGTTCATAGGATGGCTCCCCTTTCGGGCCCAAAGAGCTACATGACCTGATCAAACCTGACCTCCAAATTTTTGAGTTGTCCATACTCGATACATGTATCAGAATGCTTAAATTCGTACCTTGTCTAGTGGTCCATTTCAACAAGCAGCGCGCGGTTACGCCTCTACGTCAGAAAAAAGACGATTTACGAATGGCTTACATGCAGTAGCTCTAGAATCATACTTACCCTTCTTGGCTCCTGGCATTTCTCTTCGATGACTTCCGGCTCACATTCGGGTGCGACCTCTCTCTCCTTCTTCACCTCCTTCAACTTGAATGACGACTCTCCTCGGCAGAGATCATCGTCGCTCCAGCAAGTGAGGGATCTCTTCCTGCAGGGATTGCCCAGGGACCTCTCACCTACCCTTCTTGGCTCCTTGCGTTTCTCCTCCTTGACCTCCGGCTCACATTCGGGCGTGACCTCTCTCTCCTTCTTCACCTTCTCCAACTTGCTGGGTGACGACTCTCTTCGGCAGAGGTCATCGTCGCTCCAGCAAGTGAGGGATCTCTTCCTGCAGGGATCGACCAGGGACCTCTTCCTGTCCCTGCTCCCGCCGCCGCCACTGCGTCCCTTCTCGCGGATTCGCTCTCCGAGCCGCTGACAGGATGTCGAGGACACTCGGCGTGTCGCGTCGTCCGAATCGGAGGATGTTGATCGGGAACATTTTCGGGGAGGTCGCGATTTCATGACGCATTTGGATGACTTGAAACGAACCGAAGGGGATGATGAAGGTGACCGGGAGGCTGACCTACAATTTGGGAGGGAATGGTGGGATTAGTTGGTAAATTGGACTACATTTTGCAATTAGGAACTATAAATTCCGGCCCGGTTCAAGAACAACGTATGTGCCCTTAGTTTCCTTATGCACATAAGTGTTTTCTCAGATGAGCCAGAACTTATAGGTCCAAATTGCAAAATGCAGTCCAATTGGACGTATTTATGCTGAAAGGAACTATGTGCAAGTGGAAAGATGGGGTGTGCTCGTGCAAACTGCTTAATAAAGAATGTAAAAGTGGAACTATTTCCTCTTGAGAAAATGGAAAAGCGGGATTTTCAATTGAATCAAAAGGACCTAAGCGATAAGTCGTGAGCCAAGGGCATATGACATAAGCGTTGTGGACAGGGCTCATGAGTTAAAGACCATGTTGCCAAAGTTAATCCATGATCATTGCGATTACAGATTTCGGGTATTCATACTGTCAATGCCACTCCCGCAAGTTGTTCTATTTGTTAATACTATCCTATTCTATTTGTAAAAATGCTAACTCGAACATTTAGCCCGAACTTCGAAGTTAGTAATCGTTTAAGTGTTTTACGAGCATTGCACGTTTTCCTTGAATAAGATTAGTATCAGTCAGGCGAAGCGATTGAGAAAGCCAGAACGCCTGCAATCATGAGTGTATGCAACACGGACATCCATCGAACACGAATAGTTGCATCCAAGCGCCTTTGATTTTTACCACGTGAGATTACAAGATTTGTAATGCGTTATTGCTCTTCGCGTTAAATAAGGCAACTGGGAAATTTCGTGACCTGAGCGTGACGCATTAGATTTTAGACGATTGTTTTTTTTTTTGCAACTACATTTTTCGAATTGTAAATTTTCCCGGTTTTTCGGCGGTTCTTAATCCGATTTTATTAAAATCTGATCTTATCGGCAGTTTTTAATTTAATCTTCATTTCGAACCTCATTAATATTTGAAAGTATTTACAAATTTTATCGTAATAGACATTTGTTAATAATATGTTTTATACGTGACAGCGTTGCCAATAATTATGTTTAATTATATTTAATTATATTTGAATTGCGCTAAGCTAAAAGGAATCAAGCTACGTCGGCAATCGCCCAGTTTAATTGGGCAATTTAATTTTTTACTCAAAAACGGTTGTGCAGAATTTTGTGCAAATATTAAGATAATTTTCTGCAGAGTACAAAGCAAATTCCTTAAAATTTTCAGAAGAATCTGCACAAAAATCCTCTCGTAAAAAATTAAATTGCCCGATTAAATTTGGCAATGGCTGATATGACATGGCTCCTTTCTGCTCATCGCGATCCATTTTTGGCTGGACTGAGTACCCACAAACCTGGAAGTCCCGTCTCCAGAAGTGAATGACTCAGACCTCCCAGCCCTCTGCGGGGACAGGGATTCGGATCCCGAACTCTCCGTGGAGTCCCCCAGGCGGAGTCTGATGCAGAAAGAGTCGACGGACTGGATTTCATCGACGTCCAAATCGTTTTTGACCATTTTCCGCCCACTGTCCTCCACAAAAGAGGGCGAAGAGTCCAACCCGGAGTCTTCCGCCTTTGCGCCGCCTCCAGACCGCGACCTCCGCCTACTCGAAGGTGATTTAGGCCGCCTTCCCGTGTCCGACATCTGCTGGACCCGATTCGGTCACCGTTCGGAGGATGGTGGTCGTGGATCGTTTTAAATACTAGGAGATGGAAGGTGGGTTGGCACCTTAAAAAAGCAGAAAAATGAAGTTGTAGAGCATGAAAAACGTGCAATACTGCCACGCTAAGGAAAAACGCCGTATAAACATTCGAGAGATGCCAAATTTACTCCCATAAAATGTTTATTTTTTAGGAAAATTATGAATATTTTTTCATGAAATTTACAGGAGTCTTAGATCAAATGACAAACAAAATTATCTGAGAAATTGGTAGACGAATATTCAAAAATTTCCTGAAAATTAGTGATTTGCCAGGAGAAATTTGGCAATGCTTGAAGGCTCATGTGGCGTTTTTCCTTAGCACGGCAGAATACTGTTGTGCCAAGAGAAAACGCCGCATGAGCCCTCAGGTGTTGCCAAATTTCCTCTGGCGAAGCACTAATTTTCAGGAAATTTTTTCAATACTTTTCTACCGATTTCTCAGATAATTTTATTTGTAATTTAATCTAAAGTGTCTGAAAATGTCAAGGGAAAATATTCATGATTTTCCTCGAAAGTAAATATTTTATCGAAGGAAATTCGGCAACTCTCGAATTTTCATACGGCGTTCTTCCAAAGCACGACAGAATAGCTTAGCAGAAGTGCAAGGATAATGAGTGTGGCACAGGCACCATCGCTAAGAGCGTGCATAATAAAACCATAACTCAGACTGCTAGGAAGGTACCAAAACCAAAACACCTTCAATTTCTAGGTAGGCAACACGCGCATCCATCGAACACGAATAGTTGCATCCATACGTTATAACCCAAGCTACGTTAGGAACATCTGTTTGCCCGTCTATGGCCCCAGTCACAGTCTTTTCGTCAGCAGCTTCTTTTCTCTGGGAGGCCCACATACGCTGATAAAAATATTTGTCTTCTTGTGTTACTTTTGATTAATATTGGAAGTGAAACACAAACAAACGCAAATTTTGTGTTGATTTTGGCACAGTTTGCGGTGAATTCAGTGCAGAAAATATGGAGGGACTGGGAAAATGCATTCTATCGATTGCGACATTGTTATTCACCACTCGTTTTTTATTAAATTTCTGCAAGAAAAGTAGCCAGCATTTTTCCTTGAAATCGTCAACCAAAGGCTAGGGTTATTTTGTGTTTTACTTGTGTGTGGCCGTATATTACAAGTCCTTTTGGTTGATCTGACCAAGGAAACGGAAACTCGAAGTTATCCAAAGTATCCATCAACACAGAAATCGTTCATTGTGTGTCAAACTAAATAATGTACAGTTTAAAAACCTACCTTTAAATGCACAAAGGTGAAGATCGCAGCGTTGCCTTCATCCGCCAGCATCTTGCGGAGCGACCAGGGGGCGCTGCCCCCCAGTTTAAGATAAAGAGCCACCTTGGAAAGTCGAGCAACTCAGCCTCCGGAGTGACTTGTCAATCAATATTTCCGGGTCGCCATGATCGCCTCGTCACAGAATCTTAGAAAATCCCGTATTTTTGTCCCGGAGTCTTCAGAATCCGGATCTCGCAATCCGGCGGAATCCCCCGCAGTGACCGGCGGAGACCTGAAGAGCCGTTTATTAACGGGAGCTCCTCAAAAGTTTCTTGACGCTTCGACTCGGGCTGCACATGCACATCACTTCCGCGCCGCTTCCGGTCGATGAGCGGTGTGTTCCCCGCATCCGGTAATTAATTTCCGCTTCTCCGGAATTTCACCGCTGCGGAGTTTTCCTTCGCGGGGTCCGCCCAGGTTGCCACCTCGTCCACCGCATTCAAATTCCTGAAACGCGTCCAGAGTTTCAATGGACCCCTGGACAAGGTGCGAATTTATGCATTAAAATATAGTGAGAGGGACGCACTCATCGAGAGACCTGCCAAAATCGTTGTAATGAGCGATTCAGTCCAATCAGACTCTTGGTTTTTTAGAGCGTAAAAGTCAAATTTTTCGTGACCAACGCTAATAGAGATGTTGCATGTGTGAGGAATTTGCGATTTGACTGTTGATTCTTATGTAAGAGTTCGCGAGAAACACGATGGTGCCACTGGTTTTCTCTGAAACCAACTCCCGAGCTCAAAAAAAGCTCTCAAGCTCAGGCCGAAATGGAGGGGATTGTCCCACGCTATCCTGAGAGTCCCTCTCTACATCAAGACAAACTCTCCATGCAAAGATAGGGAGCAAATACAATAGCAGGGCTGCGTGGGCTGCCGTGTTTTCAGTTTTAGAGTCCCCAAGTAGTGTGGCAGCCCTGTCAATGTATTTGCTCCCTATCTTTGCATGGAGAGTTTGTCTCGATGTAGAGGTGGACTTTCAGGATAGCGTGGGATATCCCCTCCATTTTGGCCTCAACTTGAGAGCTTTTTTCGAGCTTGGGAGATGATTTCAGAGAAACCCAGTGGCACTTTTACATACTTTTACGTGTTTCTCGCGAACTTTTACAAAAGTATAATTAGTCAAATCGAAAATTCCTCACAAATGCAACATCTCCATTCATGCATTAAAATATAGTGAGAGGGACGCACTTATCGAGATGCCTGCCAAAATCGTTGTAGTATGCAATTTGGTCCAATCAGACTCTTGTCTTTTTAGAGTGGAAAAGTCAAATTTTTCGTGATCAACGCTAATTGAAAACGTGATCATCTTGGTTATAGAAATTTTTTTAAATATTTAAGTTATTTTCCTCGCGCGAACCCTGCTTTACGTGAAATTTTCAAGAGGGAACATGGACCACATTTTGCAATGAGGAACCACTGATTCTGGCTCATTTCAGAAACAACATACAAGCCATTGGTTTTCCTTTGCAAAAAGGGCGCTTTATGGAAGAGCTAGAGACAGTAGTTCCTTATTACGAAATATAATCTTTGTATGAGAATGCTTAAATTCGCACCTTGTGCAGTAATCGTTTTGTGAAAATGCAAAATCTCAAACAGTAGAATTTCTCCTCCCCAGATTTTTTTTTACGGAACAATCTCAGTATAAACATAATTAGGTTGCCCATGGGATGTTTAGAATGAGCTCTTACCGCAGTTGTTTATTGAAATATAATTTCTCGCAAACTTGGCATCCAAGCTGGAGCGAATTCCACCGGAGAAATGCATACGTGTGCCGGTATTACATTCACGGACGAGTTCGAGTTCGAGTTCGCTGTTCAGATTTTCGTTGCCAGGTAACTGAGTTCAGCCGCTCAAACCACAAGGGAGAGAAAAACGGAATTTCAAGTTTAAGTTTCAGTCCCGACGCACTGGTATTTAAATTTTGGAACCGAGGAATAAAAAAGTTTAAACTGCGTAAAATTTCTCAATGTTTCGAACCGTTTTTAATTGACACTTTAGAATTTTGAAAATCGAAAAATCAACATTTATAAACTTGTAAATTTTATGGTTCGAAACGTCTCCGGGTTTATGGAGCAGTTCGATTTTTTTTTTTTTTTTTTCGGAAAAATTTAAGAATATCCTCTATTTGAAGGTTAGTTTTCTGAAAAAGGCATTTTTTTGTTCCGATATTTTTTCATTTAAAAATAAGATTTCTGGGGTCCTTTCCTGAGATAAATCGAATTAAAAATCACACATTTGAAAAGAACCAAATACCGCAGGTTGCATCAAACATTCTCGTACCCGTGCTCCCCCTAACCAACGTTTCTTCATCCCCTTTGTCTTTCAAATATGACGGCACTAGACAAGGTTGCCAGATTTCGTGGAAAACCCTGCGCATATTTCAGAATGAGCTGAATAGGGAAATGCGCGAAAATGACAGCACAGTCAGGAAAAAATGGCATCTCTTGCCTGTGATTCTCTAAACATGTAAAAATTATGCTCTTCATTCATCGAGACATTCAATCAGGAAGTTTGTATTTGTGCTGCGCACAGTGGATCGAGTTGATGGAGGAGGTCGGACATGTTTTTAAACTGTAAAAGCGTATATCTTCAGTAATATGGAATGCTAACGTTTAAAAAGTAGTTTCTCTGGTTTTTTCGTAAAATTTTCAATAAAAAGCACCCCTTAAACTTAAAATTATGACGAAATAAACGTCCAATTTTACAGTTTTTGTAAAACATTTCATATCCGACTTCTTCCGAAGACGCGCTCTACTGCGCGGCGGAGTAAGGACAAGTGATATTTATCTGCCACCTATTGATATGTTATTTTGTGTTCTTTAAATCTTGGAACCCATTTGAACATAAGCACGATAGAGCCCTTGTCGCAATGGAGGTAGTCTCTTTTTCAGAGGCGGAACCGGCAACTTGGTCACACCGGATTCCATCCATTTAAACCCATGTTAAATAATCGATTCTTGTCAGAGCACCTGGCCCCTCCAAGAATCGATACATTACTATAGGGTTAAATGAAGAAAAGCAATGTTGCCAATTCGCTGGATCCTCCAATGACGTCCACAACCAACTTGTTCCAGGCTGTATATTTGAGTATTTAAACCGAGATCTCAGTTTCCTCTTGTTTCAGGCTCATACGGTATATTTGATGGAATGAGCCTGATTGCGTTTAAGGCTACAGTTTTATTTCGCCGAATCGAGGCAATTCAAACAACAATCAAAAGTTTTTTCGCCGGTTTATTATTGAACCCCTCTTATCTGAGTCTCGTTTCCTTTCGATCCATTTATCCATTTAGAATTCCATCTGCGCGGTAATCCCCTCCAGGCAAAGAACTTTTTAGGCTCGCAACGATAAATTTTTATTGCGGACCTGCACGCACTCTGTGCAAAGCGTGCCCACTTCCCCTTCGCTTGAATAGTCAAAAGTGGTGAATGAAAATATCATGTTTAAAGAGTTACTGATAAGCGGCCGATTATACTCCCGTGCTGAGGAGAAACGCCGTATGAACCTCCAGACGTTGCCAAATTTTCTTTGATAAAACACAAATTCCCTGGTAAACTTATGAATATTTGTCTTTCTATTTTTCAGGGAACTTTGTTCGTATTTTGTTCGAAAGTTCCTGAAAATTTCAAAGAAAAAGATTCATAACTTTCCCCAAAAATAAAGATTTTTTCAAAGGGAATTTGGCAACTCTTGAATGTCATAGAACGTTCTACCTTAGCACGGCAGTAAACCGTGTTCCGCCGTTTCGGGGCATTTCGATCGCAAGAACTGGATCCCGCAGAGCAACAAACAAAAGTTAAAATGGCCAACGTTGCAAGTAACGATAAGCGTTTTTTACATTTCCCTTTAGCAACACAAGTTAAGCTAAGGATATATCGATGCCTAAAGTACGAAACCACGTATCTTCATTACAGGGTTTCAAAATTTCCGTCCGCATTTTATTTTTTTGAGGGAAAACAAGCCAACTTTAAAGCTTATCTATACAGAATATTTTTCCAACAGAGTAGAAAAAGTAAGGAGGTTTTCAATAAATCGCGTTGATTAGCTTTCCAAAGATTAAATGGACGTATTTCAGCCAAACGGAACTATGTGCATTAAGGCATGAGCCCTGAGACCCATAAGAATATGTGCATAACAGGGTTCACGTCATAATGCACATACTTCCGTTTGGCAGCAATACGTCCAAATAAAGTATGGCAGGTAATCTGCAACATTGCAAAAGGAGACACGTGTTTTCACACTTTGGCCATCCATATGCGTGGAAGTCGATTATTTAAGTCATCATGAGACTCTGCAGCAGCCTGATTGTTGAAATTTTTTGTTTGTCGAGACCACATAGATGACATAGGTTAAAAGGCGGAACAAGATTTGTCAGCTAAGTCTTAACCTGTGTCATCCATAGAGTACATAGAGTCGTAATGTAAATGGGAGAGCTATAGCGCCATGTTCTGCTCGACGAGTTCCGAGCCCGGTGTGCGCCGAGTTCGGGTCACTTTTTCGATATATGTTCGATCCAAAATGGCGGTGTGAAATACGTGGTGATTCCTATCTTCTTTGTTTACATCAGATGGCCGGGTACCCGTGTATCGCAAACAATCGATTATGTATCGAAAAAGTGACCCAGCGTCACACAAGAGTCTCGGAATTCGGGACCTGGAAAATGCTTAAAAGTGGCGCCAACTCACCCACTTACATTACGACTCTATGTACTCTATGGCGTCATCAATGCCGTCTCGACAAACAAAAAATTTCAACAATGAGGCTGCAGCAGGCCGTAAAAACTGTCGGCTAGGAAAAAACATCAATTGGTTGTTCAATTATGAAACTTTCCTTGTCAGTATCCTATAGAATTACTCAATGCAAAAACAGCCGCACGAAAATTAAATGATACAAAGTTTTTACAATTAGCAAACCTCCACGGACAATGCCAAAACGGCCAAAAATATGCTTGCTAGAAGGATAATCTTCACACAATTGACAATCCAGGGCCTCCATAACTTGAATTTTGCTATGTAAAAGCGATCATTACATAAAAACCTCTCTTGTTGGCACTGAACGTTGAAAAGCGTAGTCCCTTTTGTCGAAAACTCGCTCGAATTCTATGCACAACGCCTGGATACAACTATTCGTGTTCGACGGATGCCCGTGTTGCACAACGAAAAATTGAAGGCGTTTTGGGTTTCATCGCGCTCATTGCGGTAATGACAGATGAGATCGAATCAATGGGTGAGGTCGGACAAAATTTGGAAACTTTAAACGCTTTTAACTCCGTTCATACAAACCTTCGAGGTTCTAAAAGTGGTGCCATTGGTTTCCTCGTGAAATTTTCTTCAAGAGGCAGCCCTCAAAATTTAAAACATGACGAAATAAATATAAATATTTGCAGTTTTAGTCGAAAATTTCATGTCTGACCTCTCTAATTGACTAGATCCTCTGTGCGCCGCTGCCATTCGTATTACTGTATTGTCATTGATTAGAGAGGCGCGGGCTTATAATTGAATTTGGTAGACAAAGGTATAGACAAAGAAAAAGTGGAGCGATCCTAATGGTGGAGGCGGGTAATTAAAATGGACTAAGGAGGTAAGAAATAGACTAGCCGTTGACAACCCATTAGAAACCCTTTATTTTAGTACACCGTTTCCCCCGTTTTATTCAACAACCTCTCGTTTCTCCGATCCACCGAATGGATGTTTCGTAGGATTGCTTCATTTTCCCTTCTTCTTTATCCATGAGTTTCAATAATCCGCTTAAAAATATGTGTCATTCGTTTCCCTATGCATAGGTGCTTTTAGCGTTGAGCCAGAAATTTTAGTTTCTTATTTCAAAATGTAGTCCAAACATTTGTGTTCTTGTTTGAAAGTAACCCACAACACAAACTGAACTTCACCTTGTAATTTGACACTAATATCTCAGACTCATTTTAGAAACAACTTGTAGGTCACTAGTTTTCTTAGGCAGAGAGGTGCTTTTATGGACAAGGTAGGACTAGAGTAGTTCCTTACTGCGAGATGTAATGCAACTAATCTAAAGTTAGTGATTTATTTGACGTATAGAAAAATGAAAAACCCGCAGAAACCGAGAATCATTCCAAGATTTATACAAATCGACGGTGTAAGTCCGTCAAAAGTTCTGGGATTCGAAACTTTTTTGTTCCAATTTTTCCCACTTCATGACCGTCAAAAGTTCCAGGATTCCTTTTAGATTTTTTAAAAGTTCCGAGATAGTTCCAGAAAATGCAATAGATTCAAAACACTTCGGGAATTCTTAAAGTTCCGAGAAAAATTCAGAAAAATCTCCAAAATTTCGGATATTGGAGCTAGATCTGGGACATGGGAGCGCTGCACCATCCATATGTTCCTTTGCACGAAACTAGCTACATTTTGTACTTCTTCTTCCCTAAGTTCAGCAAAATAGAGACGGATTTACCGAAACAAATGACAACACTGTAGGAAAACTCCTTGCAACAGTCGGCGGAACAATACAAGAGGAGTCAAGCAAATCCCTCGAATCCGCGAAACTTAAGCAGTGTTGCCGTTTAGCGTCACTTATTTTTTCGTCATCCATAGCTCCAATTGAATAAATTCTGACCATGATCGAGAACCGACAACTCTGATGCGACTTATCTTAAACTTTGCCTCTGTGTGACTTGATGCGCTTCATTATACGGTTTGGAACTCCGGGGAACTGCAGTGCGAGTTCTCTGTATCTTAGGACCGCATCAAAATCCACCTTTCGACACACACATGGTTGGGAATATCACGTTTTAACTGCAATGGACCACTAGACAAGGTACGAATTTCAGCATTCTGATTCATGCTTATTCATCAAAATTTCGCGTAAAACATGATGCGCTAAACGAAAATTACCGAAATCAACTCCTTCCAAAGATATTTAATGATTCTTGGTGCGTGAGTTCAAATCACCCGCTCATGAAAACTCAATGCTCTACGTGATTTACATCGCGCGCTAAACGTTTATCATGATAGTCTCTGCGATATACAAATCTGGCAACCTCAATCTTGACGCTTTGGTTCAGCTATAGCAAATTGCTTATAGTTTGAACATCATATGG